CCTCTACAATTACTTCTCAACAGGCATGGTGCAATGTGTTCAAAGAAGAACAAGAACAAGAAGTGAAGTATGGAACCATTTCACATTTGTAAATGAAAAGCCAAATATTTTTTTGACTTTGAAACCATTTATTTCCAAATACACCCTTTTAAAATTGTGCAGTATTCCAATTATTTCATATGGCATATATTTGAATTAGATTTGAACTAATTCAATCCAATTATTTATAGGTTCGAATTACATTGATTCATTCAGACCCTTAGCAATTTGATTTTTAGAAAGAAATCTAAACACTTATGCTAGATATACAAAAGAAATATTTTTGTTAGATGAACTATCTAGATTTATGAGTATTGTAATTCTTTTTTCAACAGTTTGCTATATTTTTTGTCCTTGCTGGCTGACCATAATATATTAAGCTAAAAAAGTATATGGTTCAAAAATTTTTTGGATTGTCATAAACATCAATTTTGGAAGTTATCTTTAAAAGGCTTCAGGGGCCCATAAAAATATGTAATTAAAAAATAAAACTGTAATTGATTAGAAGAATAAGATTACTGAAGAAATTTTTGAAAGTTGTATAAAAATTTTATGAAATTTCAGCACTTTCCATTTTAGGTAATTACTGGCAAAGTCAATACAGATCATGTGATACGTGACATTTATTAATCCAAAAGTTATTGCACAAACGTCTTCGGTTCAACGGGGCTGACTATGTATATGTTAAAAGAAGAGAGAATTTTTTTTTTTAGAAATGATTTTGATTAAAGTTTCATTGTTACCTGAACAATACAATGTTTTTATTTTTATATAATATTAAATTTTCAAAGTCGGGTGATCATTTTGACATTTTAGTAACACCAAAAATTTCAAGGTATAAAATAGTAACACGAGAAATTTTACAAAATTAAAAATTAAAAAAAAAATGTCCAATAAATTAGATTATTTAATGTAAATTTTTTAAAAAATTCAATCAATTAATTAATACTTTAGATTTATTATTTATTTACTGAATTTGTTTGTTTAGGGACTTTACAATTACATTTCCCTCTTCAAGATTAGCAAAAATAGCTGAAAAGGTTTTAAATGTTGATAAAGAGCTTAGAAGTGACCAAGTTAAACGAAGTATTATTGCACAAGATGATAAACTTATTATGCGAGTAAATTTTTAATATAACTTTTTTTTTTAAAAATTTATTAATAATTTAATAATTTATTAATTTATTATTATTAGAAATTTTGAATGTACAAATATAAAAATGTTGAGAGTTTCTGTAAATTCTTTTTTTGATATGTTAATTATAGTGGTTGAAACTATAGATGCATTTGATATAATCTAAATTATTAATGATTAAAATGATTATTGCATGAACAATACATTTGCAAAACCAATATAAAATTTATAACACTATTGATTATATGGTCATTGTGGATATAAAAATAAGAATGTTGAAATAGGATATCTTGAAACTGACCAACCAGATTTCTCCTCCAATAGGCAATTGCAAGATCATAATAAATTGAATAGACT